CCTAAAGTTTAGGGTTTAGGGTTAAGGTTTCAGAAACCCTGAACCCCTAAACCCAAAAAGTTCTCGTTCCACCACGCCAAACCAACAAAAACAAAAACGAAGCAGGGCCCTAGACCCTGGACCCTATTTTAAACCCTGAACCCGAAGCCCTAAGCCTTAGGGTCTAAGGTTTAGGGCTTAGGGTTTAGGGGTTTAGGATTCAGGGTTTAAGGTTTAGGAACCCTAAACCCCAAAACCCAAAACCCAAAACCCTAAACCCTTAAACCCTAAACCCTTAAACCCTAAACCCTAAACCCTAAACCCAAAACCCAAAACCCAAGCAACGAAGCAGGGCAAGGCACGGCACTTGAATGGCATGTCTGCCAAGGGCTCGGGGCCGAAGTTCACATGCACCTCTTCTTTCGGGGTTCCAGGGCCTAGGGTTTAGGGTTTAGGGTTTAGGGGTTTAGGGGTTTAGGGTTTAGGGTTTAGGGCTTAGGGGTTGATAGAGGGTTTCACAGGAACTTAGGGTTTTAGAGCTTCTGGGCTTTAGGGTTCAGGGCTTGGAGCCTTAGGGTCTAGGGTTCCGGTTGCAGGGTCCAGAGTCTAGAGCCTAGCTCCTGCACTTTTCCTGGAGGGCGTAGGAGTCGTCTCGTTCTGAGTTTAGGCTTCTTCACAGCTCACACCTAAAGCAGCCGACAAGGTTACACTTTACTCTGAACCGATTTCGGTACCGAAAAGTCCCTAAAGCCCTACTATTCAGGCACTTGGACCCTTAGGGTTTTGCATGGCTTCGAAAAGAGGGCATTTTCAGGTGGGTAGTTACCGTTATAGGAGCCTTTTAGAAAGGTCTATATACCTTATAGAAGCCGTATAGAACCCCTACATACCCTAAACTCCCCACCTGTAGATTCCTTTAATCGAAGTGTTAGAACTCGAGGTTCGATGCTGTCGGTGTCTGAAAAAGGTTTCCAATGACTGCAGAGTTCTGACTCGAAGAAGCCCCTTGATCACTGCACTGGAGCCGGTGATCGTCGCACCCTTGACGGTTTAGGGTTTAGGGGTTTAGGGGTTTAAGGTGTAGGGTTTAGCGCCCTTGTTATAAATAGAGGATAGTGGGGGCGGGAGCAAAGGCACAGCCGATGTTGGCACTGCTGGCAGGGCTTTTGCTGCAAAGGCCGAAGCTTGCACCACCTGTTGCTGCTCGGTTGCCTGCTCCTGCCCCCAGGATTGGCTTGCATAGACATATTCTGCCATGGGCATGTTCATCCCCGTGCTTATGCCCATGAGGCCAGGGTTCATGTTCAGGTAAGGATACCCAGCCATCATCTTTCCGGGCATTGGTTGCATGTTGGCTGCCATGAACATATTCTGTCCGTTGCCACTGCTGCTGGAAGCCCTAAACCCTAAAACCCTAAACCCCGAAACCCTGAGGCCCTGAGACTAAAACCTAAACCAATACATATCAAAACCCCAAGCCGCAAGCCCGAAGCCCTGAACCCTAAACCCAACTCCCCGAGCCCAAAAGCCGGACCCCCATGACCCCATATTCCCTCGCATGCATACTGCAGGATTTTGTCGTCGAGCAAGGCGAGGTCCACGTCGGCTTGTGAAGTTAGGTTTGGTAGGATAGGATAGAATCTTAGAGGTCACAATGTTAGACTGGGATTCCTTTAGCGGTTCCTTTAAAGTGTTCCTTTCAGCGTTCTTGCAAGGATTGCTACAAGAGTTGTGCAGAGGGGCCTAATCAAAAGAATAGGGTTTTGTGAGTTCAAAATAGCAGAAGAAGCCTAGAACCCTAAATCCCACACCGCTTTAGGGTTTAGGCTTTGAGGTTTAGGGCCCCGAAACCAACCTACATCGCTCGGTATTTCGATGTCTTGGTTTTACAGGCAGGCTTTACCTGCTGCAAGTATCACCAACTCAACTCTGAAACCCTCGCCCGAAACGACACTGGAGCTCTAAATCAAGGATCCTAGAATCCTAACCCTAAACCCTAAACCCTAAACCCTAAACCCTAAACCCTAAACCCTAAACCCTAAAGACTTACGGCTTGAAGTGTACAATAGAAGCCACAAAGTTGGAACATGGGTTAAGGAGGATTACTGCTAAGATCCCTTGTGCTTTACCTTAAGGGCATGAGGATTAGTCATCTGCCAACTTTCTGGCTTCTACTTTAGATGGGTTTATGGCTTGGGGTCTTGGAGTTTAGGGTTAAGGGACTCCCTTCCCCAAATCCTCAAATCAAACACCATAAAGGACCCGTTCACTAAACACCGACCTTGAAGACGACATGATACCATATAGGGATTCATAGTATAAGGTTATAGGGCCCCTACTTATTTAAGGGCACGTGGTCGTTACTTGGAGGGTTGGGGGACTTAATAAGTAGATATCAAGTAGAGTTATAAGTACCCTGAAAGAGTCGGACTTGCATAAGATGAGAGCTTTAACATTTAAAGCAATCCAGGGTTCTTCCCCCACCTTAAAACCTACCCTAAACCCTAAAACCCTAAACCCTAGACCCGTAAACCCCCTAAACCCTAAAACCCTAAACCCCTAAACCCCTAAACCCTAAACCCTAAACCCCTAAACCCCTAAACCCCAAAAGCCCTAAACCCTAAACCTTAAAATCTACCAGAGCCGACTCCTCTAGGGTCGCTCGGTTTTGAGGCTTACTATTTTTCAAGTATAATAAGGAAACCCCAACGATATTGCTAATTTTTTTTAGGCCCCTATAGTAAACCCAACGGTTTGGAGTTTAGGGTGGGTTTAGGCTGTTGAGGGCTTGGTAAAACATGGCTTCGGGCCTCAAAACCCGAAGCACCTAAACCGAAACGTATGAGCCCTTACCTTACCTCTCAGCCCAAGACCCCTAAACGTATATAGAGGCCTCTGATACGTAATCCCAAAGGCCCAAAGTAACGGCTCGAAGACAGTCGAAGGCATGATTCGAAACGCCCGCTCTGAGCGTCTGGCCGTCAAGTTCTTGAAGGTAATCTGGGCGCTCTGGCTTTTTATACCGTTTGTTCCGAAAGCGGCATCTTAGTTTCCCAATACCCAACCTTCAAACTTTTTGTGCTCTTATACTTTAGTAGTAATCTGAAAGTTTAACCTCTATTTCCCTGGCTTATTGGAGACGTATGGCATGTGTAGTGCTTAGCGAAGGGGCTCAAAAGGGTCTTGCAACAACGCTGTGTAGGGGCCTTTATGAGTAGAATAGGGCTTGGGGGTATATTATACTATAATCATGATGAGGAACCCCAAAACCCCATTCTAGTTATTAAGGCCCCTATATTATAGGGCTTAATTAGGGTTTCCTCAAGCCTTTTGACAGGATTTCACCGGCGCATGTACAGCCTGGCTTAGGCATGGTATGGAGGGTCGGGGGACTTAGTAAGTAGTTAATAAGTAGAGTTGTAAGTACCCTAAAAGGGATCCTAATTGGGGTTATGGTACATATAAGTCTGTAAAATAGCTAGTTACTAAGTCCCCCGACCCTCCAAGTAGGCATGGTACGGAGGGCTCCTTCAGGGCAACTGGAAGTGCTGCTAGCCAAAAGGACCAAAGGACCCTTAAAAGTAGGAGCCCGTATCTTGGCTGACTTCTGAACCCCTACTTATTATGGTTCATATAGAAACCCAAAAAGTTAAAGTCCCAAGAGCCAACCAGAAGAACGCCAAGCTATACTCTTATACTACCAACCCCTGTATGGTAAAGCAGCCCCAAGCCCTTCTAGGGCTCTTTTCGTCCTTAAACCTTATACACCCTAAACCCTACAGAACTCATAACGACCTTATAGGAGCCCTTAGAGGAACCCTTCTAGGGTTCACTTCGTCTTCAAGGAGGGAGGTTGCTACAAGTGTGTTTGGCGTTTCCACCCCGGGCAGCTTAGGCTTACAGGTCAAGGGATTCGAGTGTCAGTTTTAGGTTGGCTACGGTTTAGGGTTTAGGGTTTAGGTTTTAGGTTGGCTAGGGTTCAGGGTTGAGGTTTTAGGTTGGCTAGAGTTTCGGGTTTAGGGTTTTAGGTTGGCTAGGGTTTCGGGTTTAGGGTTTTAGGTTGGCTAGGGTTTCCGGTGGTTTTAGGTTGGCTAGGGTTTAGGGTTTTAGGTTGGCTAGAATACGAAGTTAGTTGGGGTTTGCAAACCCTACCCAGACCTTCCAAAATCTCTTATCTCTTACTTGAGGAGAATATACCTTAAATTTGAGTGGGATCTTTTCCAAAATCCCTTAATTAAGGAAGATGACTTGATTTATTAGAGATCCTACTAAAATCCGAACCGGAAGGAACCCTAGAATCCCGACGCCAAAATCCCTAGGCCTTCAACCCCCAAACCCCCTAAACCCCCTTTACATAAACCCCCTAAACCCCTAAACTCCCCTAAAACCCTAAACCCTAAACCTAAAACCCTAAACCCTAAACCCATAAACCCCTAGACTCCCCCAAAACCCCTAAGCCCCGGAGCTCTCAAAAGGGGCGTCCAAGCGGCCATAGGGAACAGCGGCTTGCCCTTCAACACGTCAGGGATCGGCTGAGGCCTGGCAGAAAAGTCTTTTTTTTTTTGTGTGTTTGAGCGCCTTTTTCCGTCAGCCCAATGGGTCTTCAGAAACGTCCGTTTCAGGCAGAAAGGTTTAGTGTTTAGGGTTTAACAGGTTTAGGGTTTAGGGGATTTAGGGTTTTAGGGTTTACGGGATCAAAACGGGTCATTCCCGAAACACTTGGGAACGGCCTCAAAGGGACTTAGAGCCCTAAACCCTGAAAAACCTTAAACCCCTAAACCCTAAACCCTAAACCCCAAGCCCTAAACCCCTAAACCCTAAACCCTCCCCAAACCCTAAACCCACGCAAGGTTTGGGTTTAAGGCTTTTGGGCCTTGGGCTCTAGTGCCCTCTGCTTGCAGGGTCGGGGGAATTAGTAGGGTTTACAGTTAAGGGTTTAGACTTGTAAATACCATAACCCCAAGTAGGATCCCTTTTGGGGCCCTTACAACTCTACTTAATATTTACTTACTATGTCCCCTGGCCCACTTAGTAACCCCTCGTACTTCGGCAATAAGCCAGAGAAATGAAAGGTCAAGCTTTCAGGTTACTACTAAATTATAAGAACCCCAAACCCTAAACCCTAAACCCCAAACCCTAAACCCTAAACCCTAAACCCTAAACCCTAAACCCTAAACCCTAAACCATTTTAAAGGTGGGGCATTGGGGAACTGAGGCTTTCGGGTCTCCGAGTGAGGGGGTAGCAGTTTGGGGCTTTGGTTTAGGGTTTAGGGTTTAGGGTTTAGGGTTTAGGGTTGAGTTATCTTCTACTGGATGTTTTGAGCAGGTGCTAGGGCGGTTTACAGGGTTTAGAACTGTTTAGTGTTGTTTTCTACGTGCTGTAGAGGGCGGGCGGTATCGGTTTTTTAGGGCTTCAGGGTTAAACCCTAAACCCAACCCCCTAAAGGGTTTGGGAATCACATGACATGGCATCCTTGTTGTCGGAGTGCCGGACTGCTTCGGGTACCCTTTCGGCTGTCTCCTTTTCCCAAGAACTCAGGTCGAAATAGATTCTCACAAGGAAGTTGGGTCATACGATACTTATTTGCTTTAGTGTTCATAACTAGGTCAAAAGATGCACATGACGAGGCTTCGATGTCACGCACGATCTCTTGACGGCGTCTCGTCTCTTCCCGCGGATGTTCGTCGATCATGTTGCCACAGTCTTCACAGTACACTCGCCGTGTGGATCTTGCTTGAAACTATCCGTGCTCGTATGTGAACACCGGTCTGGGTCTTTGCGCCGCATTCCTTTCTCTGTCCTCGTCACCTTGCATGTTTCTATCCCAGAGGCTCCATATAAATTACTATTATGGAATTAGGTCCCTAAACCCATAATAAGGATGGTCTTTCGGGACCTAACTCCATAATGGTAGTATCTGTGGAGCCTCTGGGTATTGTCTAATATGCAATGATGCCTGCTCGGGAGTAGACTGCAAGTGGGGTTCAAGGCTGCTTGCCTTCCGCGGGAATCACCACTGCACACTTCTCAAAGTTGAACCTTTTCCGCCCTATTGATACTAAGAACCCTACGAAAGCCCAACATGTTAAGGTCCTAGAATCACCGCTAAGTCTACCCTAAACCCCAAACCCTAAACCCTTGGGGCTGTGGACGCCTGGTAATCCGCTCGCCGTCCCGGAAGAGCGACATCGTGAATGCGTCGGGGCCTGCGGGTCCAGGGTTTAGGGTTCCGGGTTCAGGGCTTAGTGGGAACATGTAGGGTCTTTAGTACTAACATCCCGAAAGGGAAAGGCAAGCATACACTCGCCACTACTGCTATGCTCCTAAGAAGCTGTGTATATACTCACCCAAGTGCTAAGAAGAACCCTGCCACATGATATGTGGGTAGTTGTCAAAATTATGGTCCCTTTTGGGGTACCCTAAATAGTAGGTGCCGTATTATATGAAGGACCCACAAAGGGACCATAATTTTGACAACCACCCATTTGAAAAGTAGTGGGGACCCTAGTATAGTACCCTAAATAATCGGATCCTTATTATAAGGACCCCAAAATAAGGTACCCTAATTTTCGGAAACCCCCATATGTGTTTCTAAGGCATTGGTCTTAGGATCTCGGGTCGAGGGCTGAGGGGCTGAAGAGACTCGAAGCTGGTGTTCATTCGCCTAAACCCTAAACCCTAAACCCTAAACCCTAAAACCCTAAACCCTAAACCCTAAACCCTAAACCCTAAAACCCTAAACCCTCTACCCTAAAACCATAAACCCTAAACCCTGAACCCTAAACCCTAAACCCTAAACCCTAAACCCTAACCCCAAAACCCTAACATTTTTCACGACGAAACCCTAAAATTTAAACTCCAAAGCCCGACCCAAACCCGAAACCCTAGGCCCTCGGCCCTAAGCGCTGTACTTCGCTTTCCGGGGTTTAGGGTTTAGGGTTTAGGATTCTCAATAAGGGCTTTCTCTTACTTCCCCAATAAGCCATGGAAATAAAAGGTTAAACTTCCAGACTACTACTGAACTATAAGAACCCCAAAAGTTGAAAAGGTTGCGTATTGGGGAACTAAGATCTTAAGCTATCATATCCTACTCTTCTGTAGGCTCTTGTGATAAAGCAGAAATTTCAGTTCTAGGGGCCCTACAAAGAAAAGAAAGGGTTTTGGGTTTAGGGTTTAGGGTTTAGGGGTAGTTTAAGGCACCTCTCTACCTGAAGCCAAGTCAACCCACGACAACAAAGAGCGTGGGCCCGAGGTTTGCACAGGGCTTTATGGAGGGTTTAGGGTTTAGGGCTCTATAGAGGGTTTTGGGTGGTGTTTAAGAAGGTTTTAAAGAATTTGGTAACGAGCTCGAAGGGCTTAATATAGAGACCTTGATAGATCGAACAAGCTCTTTGGAGTATATGGAAAGCGTGACTTCCAGCGACTTCTATTTGTGTTGTAAGTACAATAACAATTAACCCTAAACCCTAAACCCTAAACCCTAAACCCTAAACCTAAACCCTAAACCCTAAACCCTAAACCCTAAACCCTAAACCCTAAACCCTAAACCCTTCTGAGAATAAAATTAGCATAGGGCCCCTTCAAAGGAAGACCGGAGGCTGAGTCTCCGGGAAGTTTGTCGTCCGACGCTTAAGGCTCGGGGCTCGAGGCTCCGGGTTTAGGGTTTAGGGTTTAGGGTTTAGGGTTTAGGGTTTAGGGTTTAGGGTTTAGGGTTTAGGGTTCAGGGTTTAGGGTTGAGGCTCGAGGGGTGGTTTGGATCATTTTTGACTTGCTCTATGCTTGGAGTCCCACTAGAATCAGAAGTTAACAAAGTAACCACAGGCAAACTAGATGAAAGCTGCCCCTAAGCCCTTAAACCCTAAACCCCAAGCCTTATAGTCTATAGTGCTGCTATAGGGCCAAAAGAGGAATCCGCAAAAGAGCGTTTACCACCGCAAAGTCCCTGAACCCTACGGCCTAAACCTTAATTCTATGTCTTAAACCCTGAGCCTAAACCCGTAATACTCCCTTACCCCTTAACCCTAAACCCTAAACCTAAGTCCTAGATTCTACACCCTAAACCCTTAATACTCCCTTAATCCTAAACCCTAAACCCAAAACTCTATACCTAAATCCTAGATCCTACACCCTAAACCCCGGTTCCATGCACATCCAGGGCTTGCCATGCCTTCCTCCGTCAAATTAAGCATAACCTTGCAGCACCGGCGTTGAAGGTCTACCATCTTTTAAGTCGTAAGGGTTCCATACTTAGTTCCCCAATACCCAGCCTTGAAACTTCTTGGGTTCTTATAGTTTAGTAGTAATCTCAAAACTTGACCTTTTATTTCCCTGGCTTATTGGGGAAGTAAGCATAAGAGTTCTGCGACTTGACAAGGCTATTATGAGTCGTAAGCAGGGTGTCTGAGGTTTCAGAGTTTTGAACTCGGAGTTGTTCAACCCTAAACCCTAAACCCTGAACCCTAGGGTTTAGGGTTTAGGGTTTAGGGTTTAGGGGTTGATATGGGACCCTCATTCACCCATACCTTCAGGCGACTATGGGGTTTAGGGTTTGTGCTTAGTTGGTGTGTGGGACAGGCTTTGCACTGACACGAGCGGTTTGATGTTTGAACCGAGGATGTGACGAGTGAAGCTGTTTGCACCCGTCTTACGGTGACTAGTAGCTGGCCCTACACTTGCCGTCACCACCACGACCACGTTTGACACATCCTCCTCCTCCTCATGCTCCTCCTGCTCCTGCTCTTCTTCCTACTTTATTTGACTGCCACAGTCACATACCATTCTCGTTGACATACAACTAGCAAGTCCTTTCACGGATTAGCTGCTAATCATTAGCATGGAGCTGTAACGACTTCGGTTCATGCTGCCTGTGTCTTGCTTTTTCGGGTTCAGGGAGGCATTTAAACAAGCAGCCCAATTTAAGGGTTTGGAGGTTTAGCGCTTTAGGGTTCAGGGGTTGGGGCTTCAGGGGTTTAGGAGCCTGACAGCATCCAGAAATGTCAGAGAGAGATGCGGGAAGTTGCTCACTCGCACACCATGCATCTAAGATCCGCGCGGCCAGCGCTGAGCCACTCGTCATCCGCTGCGTGACCTGTGTGCGCCTGTTTGGTGACACCCCTACACCCTTGCAAACCCGGACCTGCGAAGATGCAGGTTCCCAATAGCTGGAAAACTGTACATGTCTGTCTCAAGGGCACATACGCACTTGCCTCAGACTGTGCCGAAACAGGCACAACGAACCGAAACATGCCTTGGCAGGGCCAGAAACAGCCAGGGACAGAGCACTCCCGGGCCTCCGATTGAAGATGAAGTTGCCCTCAGAATCGAAGGAGATGCTGTCCTCAGCATCACCTAAGAGCAAAGCCTCAGTTGACAGAGGCTGAGAATCTTCAGGGGGCTTTCTTTGGTAGCAGAACGGGGAGGAAGGAGGAAAGAAGCTGGTAAGCAGGCATCAGGACGCTTCAGGACGCTCTAGATGCTGGCGCTTCTGGTCCCTCAGTTGGGACCATGAGGTAAAAGTCATCCTTGGTGGGCCCAAAAGCCGAACAGCGTTCTGGCAGACGCAGCCGACGTCAATGAGAAGTGCAAGCCACGTCGCCGAATGAGCTGCAGGTCGAAGGGACGTTCTCTTGTCTTGTTCTCTTGTAGTACAAGGCTGCACTGCCTGAAACCTGGAACCTTGCTGTACCGGAAGCCCAGTCCTACACGCGCGAAGTGAAAAGCCTGGAAAGCGAAGATTGCGGGATTGCGGCAGAGATCCTGACGTCACCTTCCAGTAAGGAGATCTTTCCCCTCTACAGAGCTTCATGCGGGAGAGCAAGTCCGCGCGACACGCCTCCAAAACGACCGTGCCTTGCAGTCGTAGCATCTGTGAACCGTTCGACTTTGCCGTGGCGTCTCCACCGCTCCCGAACGTTCGAAACTTCCATCTTGAAACTCTGCAGCTACCACAGGAAACTGCAATGCAAAAACACATGTTCCCTGGCCTGCAACCTGTACAACATGCTGGATCTTTTGGTAAACAAAGGCTGGAACCGCATCTCTCGTGCCAAAACCAATCCGCAGCAAATTTCGAGGCAAAGGTGGCTTGACCTCAGTGCATTCACTGCGTCTGCATCAAGAGGATTACGTCCGCGGGGTTAGGGTTGCGAGGAGTATAGGGTGAATCAGAACCTGCAAAGCAGAAAGCAGCTGTGCTTCTGAGTGGCTCCTTGTTGAACGCAGTCCTCCTGACCTAAGATTCACCACAAACTGCCACGCCAACGTGCAGAATCGAACTTAGTGCTGACCAGTTGGCTCAACAGGCCCACTTAATATGGCATTGTGATAAATTGGCTGACTGAGACCCGGTCGTGGGCACTCGCAAACGCGAACCTCATACATATAGCGACCTAAGTGCGCAGGTGAACTGATCAGGCATTGATATCTGACAATCTGGGTGATGATCGGGGTTTTGGTCTCTCTCGCTCTCGACTTCTAGACGACTGAGGCATTGCGCACGCCTGTTGCATCAGTTTTGCTGATGCTCTCCAGTTTCCTGATCTGGAGGCAAGCCTGCGAACTTAACAGCAGTGCAGGCAGAAGTGATCTGCAAGCACATGATTGGAAAAACCGCGCGCAAGAATTGCGAAATGGCGGCAACCCGTCTCAAGACCTCACAGTGCCAGCTGTCAGGCAGTTTCATATTCCTTTTAAAGCATGTGCATGAACACTTGAAGACAAAGCTAAAGCAGCCAGCGCATTGACCTTTCCGCGTAGGAGTGGACCGAAAACTCGCATGACAAATGCGTGCAGCTCCTCACATATGAGTGTCAATGTGGGTCAAGACACTACGATGGCCAAAGACTGGCAGAGCAATGCATGCACTACACGTCTTTACACCTGACTTCCCTTAACGACTTCGCTGGACATCCGCCCCGAGCTTCATGATGACTCCATCGTCCTGAACCCTGGCAGATTCAAAAAACATGCGGGGGTTTAGGGTTCAGGGTAGTGGCAAGGCTGGCGATAAGTCTCACTATCGGTTGCCTGGCTGCCCTCTCCAGAGAGGGCGGGTTCTCCAAAACCCAAGACTCTGCACGCCGAGGTGGGAACCGCTTCGGATACCCATGCTTGCTCTGGCGCCGGCCAGCAGATATTGCAAGCCACCCTGAGGGGGCATCAGTGCTTTCCCCAAACTTCGGGCTAGAAGGGTGGAGCTACAAGGCGAATGTAGGTCAAACATGCCATGACATCGACGCATCTTCCGTTGCTAGGAAGGCAGCCACCGCACCACAGAAACATTGCAACACAAGCTGACCTTTGCAGGCAGTTGCTCAAGGGATTCTCCAAACCACAGACACGCAAGGAACTGCGGTCCTAATTGAGCTTCAATGCGGGAGTCGCGTCCGTGACTAGCTTTGGTTCACCTGCCTCGCTGAGCGCCATAAGCAGATCTCCGGCCTGACTGGAACTGGGTTTAGGGTTTAGGGTTTAGGAATTTAAGGTTTAGGGTTTAAGGTTCAATAGGGTTCCTCGGCTTTGAAGTAACCAGGGTCAAACAAGTATAGACTTTTATTTCATAATGGTTCCTTTCAGGAACAGCGTCCCCAAACAAAAGTATAGACTTTTATTTCACAACGGTTCCTTTAAGGGACAGGGCCCCCAAAAAAGTATTAAAGTATGGTACTCCAAAGCCCAGTGGAAGCAACGCAAAGGGCAACAGGGGCTGAGGGTTTAGGGCGACTACGAGGACATCGACCTCGACGTGACATGAACTGAACTGGAAATATGTGGATACTGCTTGTTGCGGCAATGGCGATGCCTATGCGTTCCTAAACCCTGAACCCTAAACCCTAAACACAGGACCCAGCATGGCGCTGGACGCAGTTTCTGGGGATGGTGGGCGAGAGGAAGCATCACCATGACGGTTTAGGGTTTAGGGTCTAGGGTTTAGGGTTTCGGGTCTAGGGTTTAGGGTCTAGGGTTTAGGGTCTAGGGTTTATATAGGGTCTAGGGTTTAGGGTTCAATGGCTGCAATACTCGCGACGACAACGATGACGACGACAGCGACAACGACAAGGATGACCAGGTCTGCTTAAGAATACAACAAGCCCAAACCGCTGACTACTGAATCTTGCACCCTCCACTGTTAACCCTACTACCTAGTAACAGCCTGGAAGCCTAGACCCCAAAGAAGCGTCAACCGAAGCCCCTGAAACCATAAACCAAGCGCCGACCAGAGGTGAACCCATCGCCCTTCCAAACAGAAACAAGACGGTTCAAGCTTGAGGGCTTACCTAAACCATCACCTAAACCCTAAACCCTAAACCGCAAGCTCTGAAAGCAAGCTTCAAGCCTCACCCTTGCTTTAACCGTGCCTGTTCGGAAGATTTTGGAACTTGAAACCCGGAAAACCTAAGCCCTAAACCCTAAACGCTAAGCCCTAAAACCACCTCTAAGGCAAACGACTTGGCCACTGAGAATGGAGCTTTAGTATAGCATCATACCATCGATTAGGGCTTAGAGCATTCAGAGCCCTATGAGTCAAAACGCGAATCTCGCGCTTCGCCTCTGATAACTTGTAAACAAGGAGATTTGGGAGCACTATTATCTTCAAACAAGCTTTGGCCTAAACCTAAACCATCTCCGCCAGTTCGAACCCACCCGAAAAATCTCCATGTGCAGAATTATGTACGTTCCTGATGAAGAACCCTCACCCCTCCTTAAACAAGGATACTCTACAGAAATCACAGCATTCAAGCCCCGATAGGGGGAGGGTATTGAAACGGGACTCTGCAACACGCAGCTTGAACTTGCTTCCCCAATGAGCCAGGGAAATAGAAGGTTAAACTTTCAGGTTACTCCTAAAATCTCAAAACCCCCAAAAAGTTCGAAGGCCCTATAGTACCCTTTTCCGGAACCCTTCAAGGAACCCTTATAAGAACCTCAAGAAGCTTAAAGCTTGGGTCTTCCGGGAACTACGTGAAGAAGACCCGAGATCTGATTTCTGACGTCTGGAGAAATGTGGCGGCAGACCAAGGGAACCCTAAACCCTAAACCCTAAACCCTAAACCGAAGAGCCCCGAGTCTCTAGCAAACCAGAGCCCTAAACCCTGAAACCTAAAACCCAACAACCCTAAACCCTGAACCCTGAAAGCCCTGAACCGGTTTAGGGTTTAGGGTTTAGGGTTTAGGGTTTAGGGTTTAGGAAAGCCCTGAACCCTGACCCTAAACCGTAAACCCTAAAACCTAAAACCCCTAAACCCCCTAAACCACCTAAAACCTAATCCCTGAACCCTGAAAGCCCTGAACCGTGACCCTGAACACTAAACCCTAAAGGTGTATGGCCTGACTATAGCCATGGTCCCTGCAGAAGGGGGTTTAGGGTTTAGGGTTTAGGGTGAGCCTTGGGCTTGCACTGTAACAAACCTCAAAACTCCTCAGGGGCACGCAGAAACTCTTCCCCTGTAAAGTCCTTTTTGGAACCTTGGGAGGAAAACCGTAATGGACCCTTGAAAACACCCTAAACCCTAAAAAACCCTAAACCGTAAACCCCTAAACCCTAAACATCTAAAACCTAAGCCCCTGAACCCTCTAAAACCCCCCTCGCATGGTCTCCGACCATGGAGGGCATGACGTTCAGCGTGGTGTCGGGAGCGAGAAACTTCGCGGGCTCCTCTTCTACTAAGATTCGAGAAGAGGGTTTTGGGGTATAATTCGCTGTAATTATAATAAGGAGAAAACAGTATAGGTAATGATTTAGGCCCCTTTTATTATATTAGGCTGCGTCAGGGAATAGGGCATAGGTTTTACTTGGAGGGTCGGGGGACTTAGTAAGTACACATTAAGTAGACTTATAAGTACCCCAAAAGGGATCCTAAGTGGGGTTATAGTACTTATAAGTCTATAAAATAACTAGTTACTAACTCCCCCGACCCTCCAAGTAGGGCTCAGGGGCTTTGGGTTTAGGGTTTGGGCTCATGGGGTTTCGGTTTAGGGTTTAGGGTTCGGAGTTTAGCGGTTTGGGGTTTAGGTTTTAGGGTTTGTGGTTAAGGGTTTAGGGATTTCAGGGTTTGGGGTTTAGGAGTGTCAGGGTTTAGGGTTTATGGTTTTGGGATGGGGGTCTCGGAATGGTTTAGGGTTTATGGTTCTCAGGATGTCTGTAGGGTTTGGAAAGCTTACTTACTTGTCCAGTATCCTAAGGGAATTAAATGTTAGCCTTTAGCTTTGGGATTATATAGGGGTTTGAATCCCCCAGAAAGGTTAGAGGTTCGCTACTGAACTACTAGGAAACAGTTCTCAAAAAAGGGGACTGGGTCTAGGGTTTAAGGGTCTAGGTTTTACAGGTTGGGGCAAGAGGTTCATGAGCTGTTGAAGAGCTCTAGGGCTCGGGGGCTCTATTCTTGAGGGCTTAGGGGAAGTCGGCTAGAACTGGGGGTCTACGCCCCCCCCAGGTTGTCCTTATGAGTCACTTACGAAGTCCCTCGAAACTTTGGGTAGGGTTTTGAGGGGTTTGTGACGGTTTCAACAGTTTGGGGGCTTGAAGCTCGAGAGACAGATTCCTTGATGACTCTGCAAGGGTTCCTCCACAGGCTCTTTAAGTCTTCAGGCAGGAGCGCAGCCTTGTTTTTTAAGCTTCACTTAAGGGTTTTATAAGGGTTTCGATAGGGTTTAACACCCCGCAACTACGAAAGATAGCTTCAGTCAGAACGTGAATCCTCTCATAGCTTAAGGTCTATTCCTTAATTACGGGGCATTGGGCTCCCTGGGCACCCTGAACCCTACGTCCTCAAGCTTAAACTCTCAGATCTCCTTCTTGGAGGGTCGGGGGACTTAGTAAGTAGATATGGAGTAGAGTTATATATAAGTACCCTAAACGGGATCCCAATTGGGGCTATGTTACTTATAAGTCTATAAAATAAACCCGACCCTCCAAGTTCGCCGGCTAAAGAGCACCAAAGCCCGAAACTGCAGAGAACCTTTATAGAAGCTTGGGATCATTTAGGGTTTAAAGGATTTGGTTGTTTAGGGTTTAAGGTTTAGGGTTTAGGGTTGAAAGGTTTTGGGTCTAGGGGGTAGGGTTTACAGGTCTCTAAACCCTAAACCCTAAACCCTAAACGTTTCATGTTCAGGGTTCCCGGTTCAAAGACACCTCGCAGAACCCAGAAAGCATTGTCCCCTAAGCTGTATCTTAGGTTTTAGGGTTTAGGGTTTAGGGTTTCCAAACAAGCTACTTACTAAATCAATCGACCCTCCCTTATAAAGCCGCGTAGATCCCTCTAAGGATCCCTGTAAGGAGGCCTTTAAGGAAGCCTACTTACGAAGTCCCCTGACCCTAACCCTAAACCCTAAACCCTAAGCCCTAAACCCTAAACCCTGAACCCTGAACCCTGAACCCGAAATCCTAAACCTTAAACCCTAAACCGTAAATCTCAACCCGGCCATAACCCACGGCCTGGACGCGCGGTCTGGCATCGTCCGGCCTTTCGAGGCGAGCTCGGCCCTTTAGTTGAGTTTAGGGTTTAGGGTTTAG